TTCAAAGTCAAATATACTAATCCAAAAAGCCCTACCGATTAGTTGAAACAACGACGAAGTCAAGGAAGAAAGTTCTACAACATTCATGCTCGATGAAAATTTAAACATCTTTTTAGGAAGTTTTTATTTTGTTTCTTCCTTTGTAACATTCTTTTTTTTTCTTTTTACTTGAGGACAAATAAAATCTTAAGTTTGAGGGTACGATAACTCTCATTTTTTAGAGTTATTCATTACTCTTTTCTATGCTTTTGTAGCGCTTTATTTACCAATTTGGCTTCTATCTCACTCATTTTGTCTAAATTATTCTTAAGAAATGATGAATTACCAAGGATCAATTTTTGTGCTAAAAAGGACGTTGATGTGGACAGTGGGCATTATTTGTTCACTGTGGGCATTTTCGGTGCTACTTTTGGACAAAAGAATGTCTTGCTTTTTATCTTGTCTATGGATACAGTATTTTGAAGATTTGAAGTGATATGAAGATCTGTAGAAGATGGGAGAAACAGTAAACACCTTTTGTACTAAAATGATTAAAAAATGCTTCATCCATTGGACAAAGACCTTAACTTTTCATATATATAAAAGAAGCATGGTGCAAGAATTAAAGAATCATCCCTTCTTCAACGAACAACTGTCACCTGAGTTTATTTACTCTTGTGTTTGGAGATTTAGTGTAGAATTTAATTTTCAGCATTTAATTTTTGTATTTCAATTTTATGTATTGTAATTTGCTGTCCACAGCATGTCCTCTGTGGCCAAGCTGTCAATCTTATTTTAATGCAAGCATCTTCCAAGTATTTATTTACCATGTTTCGTATTTATAGTATGAGCTAATCACCTCATTGGGTGTGGATGTGAGTCAAACTTAAGACTAGTAGGCAACACGTGGGTGTTACCATCGTTGCTAATTTTTAAGTTTGGTTACTTAAGTTGGGATTAAATTCAACGCAGATAAGTCGACCACTTTGAAGTATTAATATTATACCTTAGACCCAGAGATGGACTGGGTCAAGATACGGCTTAAGTGATGCACAAAGATTTGTGAAAGACTTTGATAATCATGTAGAGATACGGGTTTTGTATGATTTACTAAGGTTCAAACTTTAGTCGAGTTTTATATCACAAAGAGATTTGGGTATAAATATTTATACTAATTGAACTTGATTTTTATACATCAAACTTAGTTAAATTGGCAATATTATGAATCAGCAAAGGTGGACACTTTGTGGGCACAGTCTACAAAGGTTCACTTTCGAGTGATCGGGATCTTTATAAAAAATTATGTGATACACAAAGTATCTTGCCATTTTGTTACTATGGTTGCCTTAAGAAAAACTTACACCCATACCCATATTTTGATAAATAAGTCTATTCGTCTTTCAAGCATTTCAACCAACAAAAACTTGACTTTTATTCACAACCAAAACGTGCTCAAGAAGTTCATGTAACTCTCTGATTCTCAGTACTTCATTCCCCGTGGAAACGATCTTGGTACTATACCACTTTATTACTTGTAGCGATCATAGTGTCGACATGCACTTGCACCATTACTATGGGGACTTTGTGCCCACTGTGTGAACATATACGATTCATAGCTATCACCTATTCCCTTAGGCTGCTAGGTGTCACTAGGTAGACTACATGGTGGTAAATTTTTATGCTTGACAACTAACTATTCTAGTTGTCTTTCAAAGTTACTGATAGATGCTAGAGTTTATTAATAAATCCCTTGAGCATTGACTCTAGTGAAGGTGGTGTATTAGCCATCTGTTGTTTCCTAGGTTGAAAATGCTATGAGGGTACCCATTGTGAAAATTTTGTAGGGAATGTCCATTGTGGAAATTTTGTGGGGATTCCTACTGTGAAACTGGCTAGGCTAACGAAATCTAGATGGATTTTGTATTCTACTAGGTCATTGACTCGCCCAAGGGGGCTGGGGTCCTTAGCTCAATGCCTAGGAGAAATTCGGGTGATTTCTCTAGTTGGGGTTATAAGTTTGTGAGAATAGGTTGTTCCTAGCTTGTGTTCATACAACATTTACAACTTCAGTATTTCCAGAGTAATAGTCAAAGATATGCTCTTCTCCAATAAAAAAAACAGTTGCTAGGGAGCTGTGGAGTGGCCACTACAGAGATCACTTGGTTTTGCTTCCGTTTAAGATTAATTTAGTTAAAACAACCAGTTGTGCATTCATGGTATAAAGTGCATCTACTGCGTGTACTCCTGAATCAGTCTTTAGAGGTATTGTTCATGAATTTGACCACTCGGTGTTATTGTTGGTCACGTTCTCCAAAATTTGGGACCCTTCGTTGTAAGTTTTAGCTGTAAAAGCTCCAAAGTTGTGCATCTAGGATGATTTTGGCTGCATTGGATAGACCATTGCAAAAGGTTTCCAGTTAAATGCAATATGGAATACCATGGTGTGGGCACTTCCGTAGGAGTTCCTTAAACCATTCGCACACATTCGACTCTGCCTCATTGTTCCTTTGTAAAATAAAAGAATTTCATTTCGAAACTTGACATTTCTCTTAGGAGGAAAGTATTTTTATAAAAACTTTTCAGCAAGGCTTTTCCATGTAGCGATAGAATTTGGTGGTTGTGAGTTTAGCCAAACCTTGACTCTATCCTTTAAGGTAAAAAGGGAAGATTTTCAACCTTAAGGCTTCATCGATTACGCCTGGAAGTTGAAAAGTATCCGACATCTCCAAAAATGACTTTAAGCGGGAGTGTGGATCCTCAGACGGTAACCCCCAAACTAACCCATAGTTTGGATCATTTGGAACATCACAAGCTTAAGTTCAAAGTGTTGTGCAGTAATATTGGGTCTTAGAATCCCAAAATTTAATTGATTCAATCCTGGAGTAGCATAGTCCCGCATATTTCTATCCTTATCATCACAATATGCACCGTGTTCTCAGCCAAAGGAGGTGGCGATGGGTCGCAAAGTATTTCTTCTCTGTTTTCCACCATATTCATAGTGGGATTCAAAGACGGTTGCCTATTATGACTTCTACCTCTTCGTGTCCATCTAAAAGTTTTTCCTATCTCAAGATCCAGTGGCAAAAGAGGTCCATGTCACATCTTGGGCATACAACACGAGGTGCATAAGAAAAATAAGTTACTCGGACTCGAATTAAAACAAATGTCTTGAGATAATAATCACGCCAGTTCCCGGCAACAACACCAAAACTTGGTATGTATGAAACAGTTATAATCATAGTGGGTTAGCTGACAGTCCACTAGTCAGTACGAGCGTCACATCAAGTAATAAAGTTGGTGAGAATCAGAATCGTATCCACAAGAACTAGACAATCAAGACAATATTGTTCTCAAGAACTTCCCTTCACACTTTTCAATTTGATAGGAAGCAAATAAGTTGGTTGGTTTGGTGAATCAAATTTAATAAAATACTTATGATTTAAAGAATGAGATGTAGGTATGAACTTTTCCCAAATCTCATCTTTAGTACTTGATCCTGAATAGTGCTCACTGAACTATGTGGAGTGGGCACTCTCTTTCGAGAGGTCAGGTCACAACAAGCACTCACACCTCTTTGTTAATATCTTGTATGTTTAAATTTATAATTTTGTTAGTGATGACCCTTGGTGAACCTTCTTAGATGGTAAGTGTTTATAATACACAAACTAGTTTGCCTACCACTCTAGTGGGTTGGAGTTCATCTCACTATGCAAACCCAACTCTCGTTGGTGTTATAAGAATTCTCTCGAATCCCCTATCATCACCCAAGCTCATGTCACTACGTTCTACCCATATTTGGGTTGAGAACTAGACTTTAGATAGTTTCAAGAGATCAGCTTGACGCATCATTGGGCATTATTGACCAAAATGTTACCAAAACGATAAAGCTTCAACATACGAAACTAATCAAGCGTTTTGCATAAAATTTGGCTACTTTTCATTCCTACACCTTAATAGATGTTTAATTCATACTTGAGAAGAAGAAGAAAACAAAAAATAATAGATTGCAAGAAGATATTCCGTAAGATTTTAACTTCAATAAAAAATCACAGTGCCCACTCTCGATAGCACAAGGTTACAATACTGAAAATAAAAGTTAATGAAGGTAAAACTACTTACTGAATGGTTAATTTACAGCTCTAGCAACTAAAGATTACTTCCTCAAATTACAAGACAACTTTCTACTCTAAAGACAATAAGATGCCTACAATTTCCATGTCAAGCGAACCATTTATACTACCTCTTCAGAACTTCTTCTACTACCTCTTCAGCTACTAAAAATGTCTTCTACATAGGTTTGACTTTCGACTTTTCGAAGTAGGCACTCTTGGATCCCACTGTGGATAATATCTCGATTTTTCAGCATAAAATCGCATCAAATTGTTCAAATGTACTTAATAGGACATTTTCTGCCCAAAAACAAATATTAGATCAAAAATGGGGGATTAAGAGGAAAAATGCCCGAAATTTACAAAAAAAAAAATTAAAATAAATGCAACAATTTAAAAAAAATTAGAGTTATCAGGTGCCCAAGTTTATCTTAAAAGATCGAATAAGAAGCTATACATCATGAATTAGATAAGCTTATAAGAAATAAATCTAGATTTACTCCAAACAAGAATCTTTAGTCTTCATGATATGGCGTACGACAAAAAGTCTCAATCCATATACTATCACAATGACAAATTAGCTCTTGTACGTAAGCATGTATCCACAGAAACAATTAATTCACATAATAAATACCTCATGTGATAACTAGAACCCAGTTATCACAACAAGGTTTCCTACCTTACGGTGAGACCATCGTTTCTTCTCTTTTTTTTCCCTTTAGATTATATGCACATGTATTGTGATCAAGAACTTCAATACCAGTAAAAGTGATTATTACAAAGTTGCAGAAACACATCAAAACACTCTCTTTTGTACCATATCTTATTACACCTGATTGGTTATCTGATTCTGATTATTCAATGTCACCTAATCACTTCCAAGACGCACAATCCAAACACCCCCTTAAAAACCTACAAATGAAACGAATAGTGTTTCTTTAGTTTCCCTTTCTTGGTCTTTGACATGATTTGTTGCCTTCTTTTACAACTCGCCAATATCTCTTCGAACTGTTGTTCCTCGCATATGGGAATCCTTAACCCTCCTTCCTTTTGATGATGACCGTATTCCTCCGCCATTTGATCCATCACCACCCTCAGTTCCGGCATCCCAAGGTAGCTCGTTGGGATCACGTATCTCTTCAATTCCGACCCCACATACACCGCGAGATTGCCTTTCGGGACGGGATTATGCCACCCTCCTCTATTACCGCTCCTTTGATTACAACTTGTGTATTTATGCATGCTCTTCATACCACCATTTGATAATTCTCTTGCAGTTATCGTGATCGAGTTTTCTTCCGCCACCAATGATTTAGAGTCACATTTACGCGTTTTCGAAGCTCTCTCTTTGAAAGATAAAGAAGATAGTTTCGGAATACGCTTTGTGAGCGGAAATGGCCATAACCGCGAAAGGTCTCTCGTCTTGGTAACCTTTCCTATGACGCGATTCATCTTTGCAGTCGACGATTTCAAATCTTCAAATGAACATTTTGCATAAAAGAGATGGATGAAAAGAAGACGATATCACCGTTTTATCCTCGGATTTATCATCAATAACAACTCGTGTTACTCTTTATCAACGATCACGAAGTAAGGACCGTGTTTTTATCGTATTTTATCACCGTTTTATCCTCGATTTATATCCGACGGCTTATCCATTTTAATCTAAAATTAACGTTATATTGATCATCCATTTGATCAAAAGGAATTTTTTAAGGTTTCACTGAACCACATGTTCATAAATCTTTCGGTTTTTCCGAATGTGTTTTTGTGGCCATTTTGACAATTTCGTTTTGTTCGTAGCAAAAAAATGGATGGGAGAATCTGTGACCATTTTATTCGTGACTTCAATTCTAAATAAATTAATGGTCAAGAAAATTAATGGTTTCTGGAATATAAATTTTCTTGATTTAAATTGGATTGGTCGGTTGTAGTTTATAATCTAATAAACGTAAACTGATCTAATCCAATTATCAAGGATAATGACTATCTAATTAATGAATATATAATTGATAATATGTTACGATATTATTTTTAGTTGATATATGTATGTGATGGTTGTTAAGAAATTAAGAAAACAGTTGAGTGGGTTAAAATAGGAAAAATCTGATCTAATGGATAACCAAATAGTAATATCAAATGACGGAACCAAACCCATTGAATCATCCTTTTGATTGGATTGGATCAGTTGTTCAAGTTTAATTGGATTGAATCAGATAACAAAATTCAATATCAAATTGATAATTGAATCGGATCAGATCAGATCAATCTAAATTCATTGACTTTCAATCAACGTACACCTCTAGTGTTAATTTATGGTCTGGTTCAATCGGTTTGATTAGAGGGATGATCATAAATAAATGAAGTGTCACGTCAAATGGATAGGATCGATTTGACAAAATTTCAAACCCAACCAATTATGCTTGTTGGTTTGCCAAACTAATCCGACCCATTTGGGCTAAGATCTTTAACTCCTTTTTTTCTTCTTCAAGTTATACATAATCTATATCTATACTATATTATAAAGCATTTGGTTAAAACTCTTAAAAACTCTTAAAACTCTTAAAAACTCTTAAACCATATTTCATCCCTATCCAATTTCATCCCATATCTGAATTCGTATAATTAACTGCAGATAAACACAATCAAATACATGATAAACATCTAATTTTAAATATAAAAAATCTAAAAT